GGAAAGTCAATAAATGCATGAGCGCACTCGTGCTCCAGGACAGTGCCAGGCCTGACACTGCAGCTGGGATCGCTGCGAAAGCTGGGTTTGAGGCACGACACCAGGCTGAGGCCGAGTGCCCACCGTGGATTCTGGCCTCTGCTTTCTGCCACATAGCCGGCATCTTCCGCTTGGGCAAGTTTAAGCTTTAACAACTTAAAATAGCTTAGCAAACCTGAGCGGGGAACTGATCTAGCTGGGGGAGGAAAAATTTAAAAATAAGTTATTTTTCAGCTGAGTAAGTTCCTTCAGCCACACCACCGCGCAGCTGTAAACCAGCCGGGCCAGCACAGTGCAGAAGCGGGTGGTGAGGACTGAGGGGATGCAGGAGTCCCCAGGGCAACTTGTCTGTCCCTGCAGGAAGAAAAGTGACAGTACTAGAACAGCTCCTTAGCAAAGGCACAGCAGGGCTTAGCAGGTAGAAGCCAAAAACCAGCCAAATATGAATCGGACACAAGAGATGCCCTTTAGAAAAGAGAAACCCCAGCTCCACAATCCAGGCAGCCTGCCAGGCCCTGTGTCCCTGTCTCCCGCTGCTGCTGCATACCCACTCCAGCCAGATCAGCACAGCTTTGCTGTCAGTCCGGTCAGAGAACTCATCCAGGCTCCTTTTTAATTTTTCCTGATTATTTTTAACCTGGGCAGTTCACCAATCTGGTTCCCAGCCTAGGTCACAAGGTTTTCCCGCACAGCCAAGGACCAGTACAAAGCTTTCTAAGATAAGCAGGTTTTCCAGCGCTGGTAGAAACGCCATGATGTACAAGCTGATATACAAGCTTCTCTGAACAAGTAGGTGAAATGTTTCCACACAGCGGTGACTGTTTCTCTCTGGTGGCTACAGCGTTATAGTCAACAGGGAGTACATTGGAAATGTTCTTTGGGGAAATGTTAATAAGAAAACCAATTGAGTTTTTAAAAATGTAGATATATAGATCTTGCAGAGAGTTTTCTAGTCAAGCGTGAACGATGTTGTTGACTTTCCATTGCTACTGTGTCTCACTCCTACTGGGTGAGAACCTCATCTTGTTTTTCCTTTCTTACTCCACAGCTGTCAGAGTGTCCTAGGACATGAATTTAGACGTAGAAACAGACTCAAATAGATAGAGTCCTTTTTCTTACTAGAGCCTTACAATTTTAAAGGAAAGTCAATGAAATTTTACAATAATTGACTACAGAGATTACTGTATCTTAACTCACTTGTATTTGGGTTTCCGCTCTGAAGGCGATAGATAGTTTATGTGCTTTACTATTAAAGACAGCAAAATTCAAACTCTGTCTTCTTTCAGGTAGCTTTGAAACTGGCACGGATGGCTGAGCTCGTTCAGAGGGAAAGAAGCAACTACCTGGCGAAAGTGGCAGAGACTCCTGGAACGCGTGCACCGCTCTGAAGCAGGAGGTAGATAACACTTAGCTGTTCCGGCACACGTCTCACACAGAGGTGAAATACTCACTGTCTTAGACACCTACAAAAGAAGACTGCTGTGAACCACAGGACTCCTGCCCCCTGAGGGGTAGGAGCAGCCATCACACTGGGTTGTACCAAAGTGGCACCTCAGCAGTTCTAGTCCTTTATTGTTCTGCTCTGAGTAGATTCAGCCCACACAAAACTGAATTCTGTTCTTAATGAACACTTCCAGTCCTCATGGTGACACATTTTCTTGGAGTTGTCCCATTTCCCAGTGTTTTCCAGCCAGAGGGAACCATTCATTGTATTGTGAGCAATGTGTAGTTACGGTTATTGTTATTTCAGCTATTCATAACGTTCAGTGGTGCACTTTCTTAATGGGGGTTGGTTAGTTCCCTCGTAGTTGCACATCCTGCCCACAACTGGCACTTGTGTTGATGTGCAGGCAGGAAGTTCCTCCCTCTGAAGCAATCATGGAGTAAGAAAAAGCTTGAGGGTTTGATGCTATTTTAAGAAGAGTTTCTCAGGCAGCTAAATTCAGTGAAAGAGATCTTCTCTGAGGTTTTTATTTCAGCTAACCGTTTACCAGTTTAGGAGTTAGTAGAACCATATAAAAATGCAGTACTTTACCAAAAACCAAACATCACTCAAGAACATCCTGCTAAAAGAAATTGATGTAGATTTTCATCAACATGAAAGCCAACAGAGCATACAGGACGTTTATTTTGTTGAACAGGAAACAGTTTGAGCTTCCATTATCAATGAATGAGTGTGTAAAAGAAAAAAAATAAAAATAAAATTGCTCGTTACTGCAGAAAATTTGCTAATCCAGAGAGAGAGAATCTGCGCCACAGTAGAAAAGTGAAAATATAATGACTAGTCACACCCAGAAGAGAAGCAGCATCTGTTGCCTTCCTGAAAAAGGTATGATGTTGCTGATAAATTTTCTGTTGACCCATATGTATTAATTCAGATGGATTTGCTAGGAGATGGTCTTACTAGTGTACCAGGTTGGTAGCAGAGTGGATGGAAAAAAAAATAATAAGAGAACCTTAGTTTCTCCGAGAAGCTCTAGAAGGGAATTCGACATAAGCAAAGATCAAGAGTGAATGAGAATAGACTGTGAAGAAACTGAAAAAACAGGATAAGAAGCAATCCACAAAACACACAGGGAAAGGTGAGGTATTTAGAGCTACAGAGACATCCATCTACAATATTTCAGAAGAAAATGCATGTAACAGGTAACACTGGCTCTTAATAGTTTCAAAAATATAATTCAGGAAAAGTTTAACATCATTTTATTCATGTAGCAGGGGTTAAGGGAGAAAAGAACAAAACACATTCTGGAAATGTGAGTGTCGTGTCTGTGAACACACATCTTTTCATATTTATAATGCTTGTTGAATGCTTACACACGTTTGTGTGTACGGGTAAAAGATGCAGTGTCTTGACACCAACCGTTCTGTGATTTCAGATGAAGGGTTGCTGCTATTAAAGCAGTTTGGTCACAGAGGGTTCCAACAGAAAACTGCACTGGCACACCATCACAGCAAGAAGCCTGCAGGCTCAAGTTCTGCTTGACATGGCCATGTTCTACTAGACCTGCCATGACGGCATTTTTTCCCAGTGTTTCCAACTGGATTCAAGATGCAAAGCAGGAGGAGGAAGAGACTGGCTGGAAATTAGTCCCCAGACCAAGAGGTGAAGAGACCGAAAGTCAGGGAAAATGCCAATGTGAAATATCAGAGACCTCCTTCACTAATGTGGACAAGCTGAGAACTCACACACTTTCTCATACTGAGCAGAGACCGTACAACTGCCCTCAGCTGCACTGTGGCAAAGCCTTTGCTTCTAAGTACAAGCTATATAGGTAGGTAACTGTGGAGTGCCTCTGCCAAACAGCGCTCCCCTACCAGAAGAGAGGGGAAACCCCCTCCATCATGTTTTTGTGCTTGAATTTCTGAGAAGGTGGTGGAGGGGAAATGCGCTTGTTACCTTGCAAAGCAGTTGAGTCCCAGATGTTACCATACTTGGCATCTCTTTAAGCACCTTCCAGAGAACCTCAGATAATACTTTATCCTGAGCTCAAGCTGTTTTCTGTTTTACTAAGGAGGAAATTGAAGCAGAAAGTGAAGTTCACAGATTAAAAACCAAATGAAAAGCAAGAACAGCATTCACATTTCATAAGCCCTACCTCTAACTTTCATCACAGGAATGTTTCTATGGCCGCTATTGTTCTAGGGTGAAGAAGTAGAGTTCCTATTTATGTACTGAAATATAGCAGAGAATAATTAAATGATCTGATCACTAGAAACTTGAAACTAGACGAACGACGGTGTCAGAGAGTGTAAGATACCAGGGTGAAATCAGTCCACAGTGGCTGTCAACAGACATTGCCACAGTCTGATGCCTTCTGATGAAATGAAGCTGTCTCACCAGCAGACAAGCATTTCTTGTCATAAACTACCAAGGTTTTCTTTGTCATTTCCCCCTTTGATAGCCTCAACGGAGGGAACAGGAGCTGAGTAGACAACTGAAGTTTACCTGTGTGGAGGTAATGCATTCTAGGGAGGATGGGCACTGCCAAGACAGACTCCAACTGTTGCTTGAAATGTTGTACTTCTGTGCCTGGAGAGTCCCCGCTGCCCCGGCAGCATCCTTTAGTGGCAGTAAAATGCCATCTGGGATTTTTGTGGCACAAAGCGTAGAACACAAGGGAAAATTTTGAAAAAGTAGGATATGTTCTCTTAGGGGCTGGACGCTAGTCTAAACTTTCCTGCTTTTCTCCCAAAAGGCATATGGCCACGCACTCTGCTCAGAAGCCTCATCAGTGTATGTACTGCGAGAAGATGTTTCACCGGAAAGATCACCTTCGCAACCACCTGCAGACCCATGATCCCAACAAGGAGGCCCTCCACTGTCCTGAGTGTGGCAAGAACTACAACACGAAACTTGGCTTCAGGCGACATCTGGCCATGCACGCAGCTGCCAGCGGTGATCTCAGCTGCAAGGTATGCCTCCAGACGTTTGAAAGTACCCAAGTCCTCCTGGAGCACCTCAAAGCTCATTCTAGGCGGGCTTCTGGTGGAGCGAAGGAAAAGAAGCATCCGTGTGACCACTGTGACAGGCGCTTCTACACCCGGAAAGATGTGCGGAGACACTTGGTAGTGCACACAGGGCGGAAGGACTTCTTGTGCCAGTACTGTGCTCAGAGGTTTGGGCGGAAAGATCATCTGACCAGGCACATGAAGAAAAGCCACTCCCAGGAACTGCTGAAGATTAAGACAGAGCCAGTTGACATGTTGGGTCTCCTCAGCTGCAGCTCATCTGTGTCAGTGAAAGAAGAGCTGAGTCCCGTCCTTTGCATGGCATCCAGAGACATGATAGGTGGTAAGAGCTTCCCTGGCATGTTGCCTGTGGGCATGTACAGCACACATCTCCAAACCATGCCAAGCTCAGGGATGCCCCATTCTTTGGTTCCTAATTCTCTTCCAATGGGAATGAGCTATCCTCTGGAGTCTTCTTCTCCCATCTCCTCCCCACCGCAACCTCCTCCAAAGTATCAGCTTGGATCTACCTCATATTTGCCTGAGAAACTACCCAAAGTAGAGGTGGACAGCTTTTTGTCAGACTTCCCTGGCAGCCTGTCTCTCTCATCTGGTGAGCCTCAGTCCTCTTCGCCTCAGCCGCCCCCCCTGGATGAGGCTTTGCTTTCCAAGAGCCCTGCTAACCTTTCAGAGGCTCTCTGTGCTGCTAACATGGACTTTTCTCATCTTCTTGGCTTCCTCCCCCTAAATCTTCCTCCTTGCAATCCACCTGTATCATCAGGGGGATTGGTCATGGGCTACTCGCAGGGGGAGACGCAGCCACTGCTTACCACTTTGCAACATCAACCTCAAGAATCTCCTGGAGCTGGGGCCTCGCTGAACTTTGGGCCCCTTCATTCATTGCCCCCTGTCTTCACCTCCAGCTTGAGCACAACCACGCTGCCACGTTTCCACCAGGCATTCCAATAAGCTGAAAATAGCACTGGAGAACAGATCTTTCAGTCGCCCTTTTGTGGAGAGCCTTAAAAACGCACAACTCTTACTTCCCTTTGGGGTGTAAAAGCTTTGCAAAGCTGTTTCAGGCAGGAAGTTTCTGATCTCTGGAGGGAGCACTTGTAGACTGGAACAGCAGATATCCCTGTGCAAATCCCAGTCCTGTACAGCGAAAAGATGTCAGCTAGTAGACTGGATATATTTTATCTAATTTTTAATCTGTGAATCAGGAGCCGCGCTTAGCACTGACCTTCCCTGAGATCCTGGAGCTATGTTCCTCTTTGGGAAGGGACTGTCCCTGAGAAGGAGTTGAGACTCTTTCATCTTGGGCTTAACTTTTGAAGAGTCCAGCTTCCATTTCATGTTATCACATTGCAATTCTGGCCAAACAGCCAACACCTCCACACAGAGAAGGAGGAGAAGTCAAGATATCCGCTCTGTATGAAGCCAACGGGGAAGAGGCTGTCCTTCCCCACTACCTCTCATCCTGTCACCGAATACATCTTACTCCACGGAATACAGCTTACTCCACATCAGTGTTAAGCAACAAGACCGTTTACATAGAGAATTCAGAGACGTCACCTCATTCTTCTTTGTGGAGCTGTCAGGTTACACTCATTACAGTGAACATTGTTTACACAACACAAACCTGTTTCCACCATTATAAAAATAGGAGGCACCAGAACACACTGGTTTTATATCTGGTGTAGCTAGAACACTGTTTACACAATGAAGTCAGGTTGCACTGATTTCTCTTCACGTATCATGTTCTTCCCCCATGGGGAAATACACTGCTTTTTGGACCACTTCAGCCTCTGCCGCTGTAGGCAACAGCTTCCCGCGTTTTCTCTCTGGCTATCCACATGTCAAGGGGATGGAGCAGCTCTCACAGCTTCGCTTGTTTTTGTTCTGTATGGATAAAGCCCTTTTCTTTTAAATATCTCCCACAAGCAAACAGATCATGCATCTGTTCTGTAAACCAAAGCATGTGAAAAAGCTGGGTTAGGAGCTTGGGTGTCGTACCAGGCAGATGAGAACAGGCTGCAGGCTCCCACTCCATAGGTTCCCTTGAGATGAGGAACAGTATGAGTTTCTAGGGTTTTTTTACCACAGCAGTTCAGTGAGGTCAGTACCCTTTTGGCTTATCCATGAAGCAGTCTCAAGAGGTGTATTTTTACCTCGGTCCTAGGGTGATAACATCCAGGAATCAGGAAGAAAAATTGGTCCCAGCTTCACATACACTCTATCGGTATATTTGAAGCATTTTCCCCAACACTAATAGTTCTAATAAACGCTGAGGGTTTGGGCCTGCAGTCACCCTTTCACGTAGGATTTGATTCCACTGGCCTTTTTGTTCTCTCCTTCTCAAGCCTTGTCCCCTGAAGTTAAAGTCCTGCTTCCCCTGCCCCACCTCTTAAATTCTTCCATGGACTGTCTACCTACTGAGGGCAGAAGGGTTACACTGTGAAGTGGCAGCGAGGCTGCTGATGTCATTTAGCATCTGTATCGTCTCCTGCTCTCATTTTCCTGGGCACTTGTACTGCAGATGGTAACACGCAGAGGTCGATCTCACTATAGGTTGGTGCGTGTCTATAGACACAGATCTTCATACCTCAGAATGGAAGAGCCGTTGTAGGCCAATATAAACCAGGAAATCCGTCAATATTGTTCTCCATAAATCTAGAAAATGCAAGATCTACCTCTACTCTGTTATCTCAGCTCCTTCAGCGACACCAGATGCTGTCCTCCCTCATCTTCCCCAAGTACAGCCATTTCAGTCAGTGTGTATTACTTTCTGCTGAGCCATTGATCCCACAGCGTGACATTAGCCGTGCCTCGTTTGTTCATAGGCTTGTCCCCCTTCCATTTTACTCAAGAATTTTATTTTTAATTTAGCTTAGTAATTCTTCCCAGAATGACTGTTTAGTGATCCATTGATTTTCCAAAACATAGATCAGTTGTTTTAGGTTAGCCAGCAATGCTGCAAATAATACTTTTGTATCAAAATGTAATATAAGATTTATTTACCTCAGCAATATCCTGTGGCAATGATCTCCCCGAGTTAAATGCAGTACTTCCTTTTCTCCACTGTAAAATGTTGCCTTTCGAAGTTCAACGAGTGCCTTCTTGTTCTCTAACATAGAAAAGGTAAATAGGGCATTTCAGCTAGTCTTCTGTTTACCGTCATTGAATACCTCAGGCCTGTCTTCTGTCGCTTTTCTCTTTGCAAAGTAAAGAGTTTCACACTGTTATCCGATATGCAAGCCTTATCCCTGTCTTCAGTTGAGAGGATTTTTTTTTTTTTTGACAAATAAATGGTCAGAACTGATCACATACAGCAAGTGAGGATTATCAGATTTATGCAATGCCATCTTCCATTTCAGAACATTCAGCTTTCTTGCTTTTTGCCTGCATTGTACTCTGAACACATGTCATCACTGGAATTCCTTTAGCAGTGGTAGCTAAACTTAGAGCCAGGCATCTTTTTCCTACCAGTAGTCTGTCAAAGAATAAATGGAATTCATTTTGCCATCATTTGCACGTGTGATTTGCTTTCCGCAGCTATTCTAACAAGCAGAATTGCAATAACATTTGTTAACAAAAGGAGAATCTAAACCAGTAAAGGGAGCGTGTTTGGAGATAGCACGCTGGAGCTAATACTGGGTATTTGCACTGGAAAATGGATTTGAAGTTCCTGTTCCACAACAGAGCTTATCACCTGCGAGTATTGTGTCAGCTAGTCTAAAACTAATGAGGCTACTTCCATTTGAAATACTAAGCACGCAATTCACAAAACAAATTATTTCCTGAAGCTAGGCAGCAAACAACTTTTACCTGTTCCTAAGAAAAAACTGAGCATCTAAGATACACAACTTGGGACCCTAAGTTCATTAGGAAGTACGTACCGAGCTGTAAGGAAAATCAGAAGTCAGCTTAGACAAGCTCCTGCTGATGCGACTGTCGGTAAAACACACTGTGAGGAAGATTGCTGCAGCACAGCCTGGAAAACTGTTCTGTGGTTTATCTGCAGGACATTTGTGCACAAGGGAATGGTGGCCATTGTGCTTGTTAGGTGATATAAAGAAAAAAAGTTTGATCCAAGAAAGGGTTTGTTGTTTTGTTTTGGGTGGGTTTTTTTTTTTTTTTTGAGGTTTTTGGGGGTTTTTGTTTCTAAATCAAGGTTTAGGGATGTTTAAGTCAACATGCTACTATCTCTCCCAAGATCATTATTAAAATAGGGAATGGAAGACTGCAGGGAAGCATGACAAATGAGACACACACTCATAGCATCGGTGTCCGTGAAGACAGAACCAAGCATTACACTTAGATACAGGCATTCCTTGGCTGATCATCAAGGACCACGAGTTAAGGGCTCCAAGTACAGGAGACTGCTGCGAGTCAGCCAGGACAAATACAAATTAAGCCATTTGGGGAGGCAGAAAATGCTTTTGATGGAAGAGAGGAGTTCTTAAAGCAGTATTTTCAAAGAGGCCCAATGAACACAGGTGACAGGAAGCTAGGCTGGACTTTACAGCGAGGTAGGACAGCAGAGAAGCCCTGAGATTTGAGACACTGAGCACCAGCTGTATGAAAGCAAGACAACTCAGAGCATGAACCTGCCAGAACTGATGAAACTTACTCATGGATGTAATAAACACCATGCCAGTAGAAATCTCACACTCTTATCCCACGAACAGCATACAAGGCAGCCACTGAAGATGTTGAGCATTTTAAGTGCTAAATGAAAGTCGTCTTCAGTGGCAGAGCCCTGTGAACCACCCTGTTATATCATTATTCCAGGCACATCTGTATCAGAAAGGTGGCATCAGATTGAGCCTGAGAGGAGCAACTACAGCAAATAATTGGTCAGGAGGGTTAAGTAAAGGAGTATTTTAAAGCATGGCTGACGGGGGGGGGGTTCAGGACCTGTAGGAACCGTGCAGCCAGCTAAGATATAAAATCATAGAGCACAGGTCTGTGAAAGGACAGGACATGAACGTGCCAGCAATTATAAATCAGACCCTAGATTCTCAGAAAGGCAAGGACATAATGTCCCTCTAGAAATAAGAATGATTCCAGCTCACTCGTTAGAAAATACACAAGACAAGCCATTTCTATGGCAGCAGAGGGTTAACTCACCTAGCCAGTCCTTCCCAGGCTTCGATTTCTAGAGCTGTGTGAAAGTCTGGAGATCTTTTTCCCCATGGGATTACAGCTCGCTCAAAATCCATTTGTATGAAGGAACGTGTTAACTTGCATTTGCTTCCACTGAATTTCACTTGACAGAATATCCACGTACAGCGTTTTGACAGACCCTGTTCAGCTGTCTCACAATAGTGCCTGCTCTTTAGCCTCAGTGTTGAAAAATGTCACTTCAATGGGAATCCCTTTTTTCCCTCCGGTAGATTGATGATTTCAGTACTTTTGTTGGGAGCTCAGCTCTTTGTTCTTTAATTCCTTCCTTGCTGACAGGTGAATAGCAGCTGCTTGGAAGATTTCCTGCAGTTCACTGAAAAATCCCCATTTTCTTTCTCTACCATTGCATCACCTTTGCTATCTGGAAAGAATAATCCTGCAGAGGCATTTTCTACTGCCTGCAATTAAAATTTTTACAAAGAAATCTTCAAAGATGCTCTCCCCATCACCCTACCTTCTTGCTTATCCTCTCTAATCCTAGTTACTCAGGCTCACTGAATTCTCCCTTGGGTGCCTATTTTTAGTTAATTGCTTGCCCAAACCCTGTAGATGATACTCTGCCACCAAAAAGCAAAGTGGATGAATGGCTTGAACAGAACTGCTTCATTAAAACTTTATGGGTTTCCATCTTTATCCAAAATTTGCTTCTTTTTCATAACTTATTTCTTGTATTTTTCCATCTGAAGCTCCAACTACAATCCCACCTGACACCTACCCGTAGAAAGCAGTTTGGTTTTGCCTGGTCTGCTGGACCAGAACTTGGGAAACCCAGACCCTGT